GAGTATTAAACTGTCTGACCTCCTGAAAAGCTTCACCGTCGTGTTCCACTTTTAGATATGAAATGGGTGTGTCGGATGGGTTTTTCATAACCGTTGACTTCCGGGCAGTAAGAAAAAAAGGCCCGTTTTCTTTGCTCTGTTGAATACAACGCCTGAAGCGCAAGTGTTCGCTCCCCTTAACGATCAGCCGAACAATATATGTGCATGCTTCAGGTCAGTAAGATATTTGGTCGAATATCTTTAACTGCGCTTTCCCTTCGTGTCTTCCTCATAGCGGTACTGTTTCTGACAACAATGTGGAATGTCAAAGGTGAAAGCACATTTCCCTGGCGAACACTACATTTAGTAGGGAATCACTCAGAAACCTCATTTTCGAGTTTGACAGCAGACTGGTTCCTACATGCATCTCTTCCGTAATGGAAACAATGTGTTAGCCACCCCATTTAGCATTTCAAGATTCTCCTCCTCGCTCAGTGTACTAAATCAGATGCACGATGTATGCGTTTTAGAGGTGTTCAGCTCTTATCACCCAAGGTGCATAAAATTTTTCATATTAGCTGCTAAATGCCTTGAACAAGAAATTCACCTCACTTTAATTCGATTAAGCTAACAGATTTACAGGTAGTAGTTGGTCGGCCACGAACAAGAAGAACCGCGGTGTTTTGGTCAGGTCATATCATTGTTTAAGAGACTTAAGTTCCCGTCTGAAGAATACGCCTTACGACTACAATTCACCTTTGCCCATCCGATAGCCCACTAAAAATTATCACAAGTTGTAAAGCCTAAATTTATAAAAAGACAAACTGGTCAAGTGCATGTACCTGAAAAGAAACAAACTTAGCGACATCACGTGGGAACTACACGTGACTCAGTCGAATCTCCCCGGCTGTGATGTATAAATTGTTTTGATGGTGTTCAGAGAAGCATACACAGAGCACCTTTGCCTCTAAATCTTCCTCTTAATGGCATTATCTTTGGCTTTAAGAAGGAATGGCTTTATGAATCGACTTCTTTGTTCCATAGTCATATCTGGTTGCCGCTCTTGTGACTGTTAATACATTCGTTAGTTCGTCCAGCTGTGTTGCGATGACCACGATATAACCTACACAAGCATATCTAGATTTGGTAACTGAGCATCACCTCGCTATAAAAGTTTGAATTTTTCTTCGTAAAGATTCAGGGCAGCAGATGGAAAGCGAAAAGAAATGCATGTAACTCTTGAGATGTCGATACCTTGTACACTTCCATAAATGGTAGCGTTTTTAGTATCCTTTGCTTTCTGGGGCTGATGATGCGGTGCTGATCCAGTTCATGATGTCATCGGGCAAGACTGTCATGTTTGTTTGTTCTGAACACCATCTGCATCTAAATTCTCACTGCGGCTTACTGCTTCGCGCTTTTTCTGCTTCTTTCTCACATAGTGATCTTCATTTATCCTTCTGACGTACGAAAACCGTGTTACCCAGTCGGAATTCGAACCCATGGTTTGGGAATACAGCGTTCGACTGACAAAGCTACCCTGTAATTTGATGGTCCTGGCAAGGCTAACATTAGTTCGAAGCAGGTCGCCTGTTTCGAAAAGAATAACCATAAAGGTACATTCAGCTTGCATGCTGCAGCGCATATTTTGAACCCGCGTGATTCTCTGAATACCCACATTCAGAGCATGAAGATCTATTCATGGGGATCCGAACTGGAGAATTTATCATCAGTGAGCCAGCAATAAGAATAGCTGCTGCAGTGGTTAATAATACCATGTCTCAGATTGTAGCTGTCGTCCCAAGCACGCTTAGGGCACTTTCGTTATCAATGGAAAACTGAGAGATGATCCTCTCCAGTGTGCAAGTGCGTTCAACTCAGTCTGGTCAGAAAACGTCTGAAGTCCGCGCATTGCCGATCTTCTCTTGATGATAGTCTAAGCCAAAGAATGCTTATGTTCATTGGAAACCTCATTGTTTTGCTTCAGTGCGCTTTGGCGACATTGATCTGACCAATTTTTCATAGAGTTTATGGAACCTCATGGATTGTTGTCTCAGTTTCATCGGTAAGAAATGAATAGTTTAGCTTGGGAAACAATATCTGCAGCTAAACTCCACTTGTGGTATGTTTGTCTCCGTCGTCTCTGCTTTGCAGCCTTTACGTAATGGCATTTTTTTCAATCGCTTCAAAAGTAAAAGGCGAATGACCTAGCCAAATCCGACTTTACGAACATTTCGACAGTATGTCCGGAGTTCTTTCAGCTGGCCTCAATGTCATGTAATGACAAAGGTGCGTCAGTGGACATGCGGAGGCGTCATTGCATCTCCCGCCACTGCTGAGGTCCTTGTCTCTGAGTAGAGGTATCTTTTAGGCCGCGGCTCCATCTATTATTCTTTGTAAATTATTATAAAAGGTCAATGATCATTCAAGCCCGGTTGAATTTTGCATCAGGCAAGTATGCCATTCGAATTCTATGACTTAAGAGATATTCATTTCTTACAAGTAGGCGTTATGTAGCATGTACGTACGCCTATGTGCCCTCGTTGTGCTTTTTTTAAGTGCTTCTCTTCTTCGAACCTCAGCTCGTAGATGGTTTGCATAGTGTTTAACTGCTCTTCTGTTTGTTTAACTGTTTTTTTACCACGATATCGGCGTTTTCATTTTCGTTCCACATAGTTACTAATACAGATTGAATGATTGATTTGTTTTTCCTTTGGTTTAGGTCTGTCATGCTTGAAAACGTGATTTGCGTCGGCTGCGGCGAAGGCTTTGCGCTGAACGAGCAAATCGTGAACTGCGAAAAAGAGGTGTGGCACCAGCAGTGCTTCGTGTAAGTCGCCAACATGACTCTGACGTAAAGCGGAGTGCGACCACGTGCGTTTGCGTGTTTCAGATGTGCGCAGTGCTTTCAGCCATTTCCGGACGGCATTTTCTTCGATTTCGAAGGTCGGAAATACTGCGAGCACGACTTTCATGTGCTGTACGCGCCGTACTGTGCGAAATGCGGTAAGTAGATCGTCTCATCCCTCATCTGGTCCCTTGCTTGTTTTTTCTCGATTAAGCTGCGTTTTTCTAGGCGAATTCATCGATGGTCGAGTGATCAAGGCGATGAACTGCAATTGGCATCCGAACTGCTTCCGTTGCAACAATTGCAACGCAGTTCTTTGCGACATCGGATTTTTGCGAAACAGCGGTAGGGCTCTTTGTAGGGAATGCAATCTAAAGGTCAAGGCAGCTGGCATGGGCAAGTACGTGTGCCACAAGTGTAAAGGAGTGATCGACGAGGGTCACATCAAGTTCAGGGACGAAGTGTACCATCCGTACCATTTCAACTGTACGCGCTGCGGGTAACGCGCTTTGTATTCACTTCTTTCTTCGATTTGACATGTCATACGCGTCAAATCAAACAGTACAAATGTTGCTTTTAGGGTCGAGTTGAACCCGGACGCTCGCGAGGTGAAGGGGCAGCTGTACTGTCTTCGTTGTCACGACATTATGGGCATTCCAATCTGTGGCGCGTGTCGGCGCCCGATTGAAGACCGCGTCATCACCGCTCTCGGCAAGCAGTGGCACGTGGAAGTACGTCCAGTAGCCTAGCATATATATTTCATTGTACTATCTTCATTTTCCATCGCCGTTTCTCCTTTCGGGTCGCGGAGGCAGACACGTCAGACAGAGCTTCCAACTTTCCCGATTCTGTGCCAGAGTGAGAGCTTAGGGAAAAGACAAATGGAGTCTGGAACAGATTCCTTCTACATATTTGCACCAGGTCAATCTTGGCTGTTCCCTGGGCCTTTTGCTGGTCGGATTTGTAAGGAATAGTTGCTTAGCCTTCCTTTCTGGAGGCATTCGCAACACTTGTCCAAGCCATCGCAGCTGTGACTTCTCAATCTGCAAAAGCAAAGGCTGTATTCCAAGGCTCTTCCGGATATCAATATTCCGAACTATGTCGAGACGCGTAAGGCCAGGGACTCGTCTAAGAAAGCCAATTTCAGCAGCTTCTACCCGGGTTCTAAGTTTTTCAGTGATGTTCCACGATTCATGCAGGACCGTAGATTAGCATGGGGATAAAGATCTACTTGAACACCGAGAGCTTAGTTTTCACTTTCAACTCTGTTTTAGTCACAATGGATCACGCAAGTCCACGCAGAACGCCTCTGGCTACTCCAGTTTGCCGGTCAATCTCTTCCTCGAGTTTTCCATCATTAGTAAATGCAATTTCGAAGTACTTGCACTTATCCACCTGCTCCACTGCTTGTCCGTTAATCTGAAGAGAGCAACGGGCAGGCGAACGAGAAATCAGTAGGCTTTTCTTTTAGGCACGTTCACACGCATGCCGGCCGTATCGCACTCGACTGCGAACCTTTATAGGCAGCACTGTAGTTCATTTTCAGAAAATGCCAATAAATCAAAGTCGTCTGCAAACAGCAACCTTCTCGACTTAACATCTCCAATACCGATACCCTCGTCGCCTTGGCAGCTCCTGACTATTCTATCCATGTATAACACAAACAGGATAGGGGACAGGACGCAGCCTTGGCGGAAACCAGTGCGAACGCTGAATGGTTTCAACTTAGCGCCATTAACTCTCACGCAGCACCTGCTATCAGAGAATACAGTGATTGGACGGCCGTTAGCAGCTGGCCATCAATCCCGTATGCACGAAGGCATGTCCGCAGACTGTTGCGTGAGATCCGGTCATACGCTTACTCTAGGTCCACAAAACACGTACACCAGATGAGCGTACTCCCACGATTTCTCAGCAGTCTGGCGCATGGCAAACATATGGTCAGAGGTTCTTCGACTGGGACAGAAGCCACATTGCTCTTCTTTGATCTTGAGGTCAACTATTTCACGGCACCTCCCTTCTAGCACCTTTGCGTAGACTTTACTTGGGAGGCTCAATAACCTTATGCCCCTATAATTGGAGCATTCCTTGTTGTCTCCCTTCTTGAATACTGGTACAATACTCCAGTTCTACAGTCCACTCGTCTCTTTCCCGCAGTCATCGCAGTTTGGCAGACACGTGTTAGTCAGTACATGCCTTGTTCGCCTAATGCCTTGAGCATCTTAGGGCGAATTTCGTCAGTTCCAGCAGCTTTTCCATTTTTCAAGCTTTACGCAGCTTGTGCAATTTCATCAACAGAGATAGTAGTATCCGCACCATTCTGATCTACAGGCCTGTCTTCCTGCTGTTGCGCGGGGTTAAGGAATTCCTTAAAGTACTCCCTCCATCGCCGAAGAATGTCATCATGCTTGATAAGAGGGTATTCACGTCTGTCCTTCAAGACTCTGAGACTGCATGTCTTTTCACCTCAGAGCCTGCGGATGGTCTGCCAGAATACTTTGTTTGCCTTGTGGAAATTCGATTCCAACACCTCACTGAGCTTCACCCAGGATTCAGGTTTGGCTTTTGCCACTGTTATGGCTGCCGCCTTGCGTACCTCGACATATTGCAAGCGAGTAGATGGCTCCTTGTTTCCAAGCCATTTCTGCAACGCTGGTTTCTTATTTTTAACTGCCGGTTGTACCTCTTGTGTCCACCATGAAGATATTTTCTGACCTCCGGGCGGCAGGCCAACCCGTTTATATCCGCAGCATTCAGCGGCAACCTCGAGTATGCCTCTCTTAAAGAGCTGTCACTCGGTTTCAAAATCGGTTGCCATCACTGGGATCCGTTTACACTTTGGGGCAATGTTGTTTGCAAATTTCGA